ATTAGAAGCCTATCGGTCTCCTCAGAGTTGTTTGGGGTCTGTACCTGATCAATACATTGGAACGAAACGTCATCTAGAGTGTGTGGGATTTTGTTAAAATTTATTGCTACTTCACAAGTTGTTTTGTTTGTGAGCATAGCAGACTTGTGATTGCGAAACCTAATTCTAAAATCGTTTATGTTAGATCCCACGTATTGTAAGCGACATTTCTTGCAAGAAGCCAAATAAATTACATTTTTGAGTCACAAGAAGGTCTGGAATGAATGGTGTATTTTTTGCCCGTCTGAAAACTAAGAAATAATTTGGATTCAAAAAAGAAATTTCAACAAAGGTCGCATCTATTCCTATCACATTTGAAGCAACCATTGTTGTGATGAATTTCTTTGTTGAATCCAAATCATAATCATAATCATATCATAATCAAAATCATATATTTATGTTATCTGTGTGCGTTTTATCTGTGTTAAACTGTAAAAGTGTGAAACTGCTTAAATTCTGGAAGAGACAATTTGACCTGCGTCAGCGGTAAATACAGTAAACGTTGTAAGGATGATATTAAATTACCTTATGGGTTGTGAGTTTCGAGCACGTTGCTTGTTTTTCCTAGCTTTCTGTCCGAGTGAGAATGCTACTATACAAATGATAATTAGAAGGAAGCCAAGTCCTACAACTAAGCCAGATAACTGAGCAGACGAAAGACCTGTTCCACCTTGATAGCCTGGGGAGTTCACAAAGTTTTTTTCTGTTGGGATAAAGGGGGAAGACGAGGACGCAGTATCATCGTTTCTATCAGAACCTGCAAAAAGTTAGAAAAGAAAACCAAAAACCTGCTGTGAATAGATATCTGAACAACTTAAACGTCCCTGCTGTTTCCTAAACTACGGCAAACAGTGTTATTCATCTCTGTATTTATATTGGAGTATATGACTCCTATCCTTAGAGCAGGGGCAAAACACTTTACTCTCACGGTGCCTCTCACCCACCCAGGTGTATAAAGTAAAGACGGAAGGCGAGGACGGGGTATCATCGTTTTTATCAGAACCTGCAAACAAGTCAGACGTGATAAGCATTAAAGAGGGAAGATTTCTCAGTTTTTAACATCAATATACAGAGATTAAAAACCTGCTGAGAGTAGATATCTAGATAGCCCGTTGTCCCCTTAACTACGGCAAACAGTGAGTGTTATTCATCTCTGTATTCATATTGGAGTATATGACCCCTACCCTTGGAGTACATGACCCCCCCCCCCAACCTTCATGGGAAGCGCAGTGGCCTCATCATATTAGTGCGCTCGTCTCCAGATCAAGCGGTCCGGGTTCGAACCCCAACCGGAGACATACTCTGATCTCACAGTGCCTCTCTCCACCCAGGCATATAAATGGGTACCGGCGAACTTAATGCTGGGGGTAGCCCTGCGATGGACTAGCATCCCATCCAGGGGGGAGTAGAAATACTCCTAATGCAGGGGGCAACCCTAAGATGGACTAACATCCCCTCCAGGGGAGAGTAGAAATACTCCTAGTTGCTTCATGCTACAGAAACCGGGATAAGCTAGGGCCTGAAGGGCCACTTGGGTCGTATGCAGACTTTACCATATGACCCCTGCAGATAGTCAAATCCGTTGATTTTTCTACCTGCTTTACCAGATTAGTTATCGCTTAAAACACCAACTAATTTTCCATCAAATCAGCATTTACGACTCTTCACCTTAAACCCAGGGTCTTGTTTACGTTCAAATCCAGGACGACGCTTGGTTCATGCTAGCCGGCAGCTTTCTTGGATTTGTATCCCACAGTAGACCCTGGAAACGAAGTTTTGCTTCACCCCTCTGTTGTCCTCCCTTACTTTTAACTGATATCTGAAAACGTACCTGACATTGCTTTCATTATCCATGTTCTCGATCTGTCGCTTTCTCCCAGCTCATTCCAGGCCGACATTTCGATTGCGTACTGCCTTTCGCATGTTAATGTTACAGTAAAGTTCGTCGCCATAACGTTAGTGACGTTAGTTTGGTGCCAGCCTATTTCTGGTGCCTGAATCTGTTGATGGTATATCGAGTACATGGTCAGCGGACACCCATGGTCAGCAGGAGGGCTCCATATCACGTTGACATCACATGTCAACGATTCTGTTTCCTTGTTGTTTATAACAGGAGGTGATGGAATACCTGCGGTAAACAAAGAAAGCTTTGAAACCACGGAATTTAAAAATTCGGTTAAGGAAAGTTTTTCTCGGAAAGTAAATGACATGTACAGGTATGAACGTACTACAGCCAAGTCTGCTCAACCTTTAATTCTCAACCTGGTTTGACACCTAACCCTTGACTTTTTTTCCTTGTTGGCGTTTTTGAAACGCAAAGTTAAATCATGGCTGACCGATAAATATGGTCCTAACTTTAAATGGTATGTAGCCCATTCAATGGTATCAATCATTAACATCAAAACAAAATATCCTGTTTTAGACTTAAAACGCATGAAAACTTGAGAAGCCAAATAATCAGTTTCACCATCTATATAGAATTCTGAACAACACACAAACGTTAACTTAGAGAACTTCCCATATCGTTGCCTTAAGCTTTTAATGAAGTTCACAGTCCTTTTTTCAAGTCACATAAGGAATGCTCACCTCCTTCTGTTTTGAAATTCCATATCTTGCTATCATTCAAAGCGCTTTGCCAGTATTCACCCATTGAGCTAACTGTTATATCATACTCATTCTTACACTTCAGCTGAAGTGTAAAACTGGTCACATTTCTGTTCACTGTAATGGAGCGCCATTTGCTTTTCTTAACTGGTGACATCACTTTCCTGTAGTTCACAGTGTAGTTGACAACTGAACAGCTTTCTTCAAAGGGTGGTTCCCACGCCACAACAACGGTGCCCCCTGGTACGATCTCGGTCGTGTTGACAATGGCAGGAACGCCTTAAAGGAGTTCCAGAGGAATAAGATGCAACTGATCATGGCAATCCCCAAGTTGAAATGGAAATTAATTTAGTACAGTAAAGGTGGTTGAAAGAACGCAAATGTGGGGCAAAGGAACAAACTAGAACTATGTATACTAGAACTAAAAGTTCTTTCAGTTTGCCCTACTGTAGGACAAAAGACATTCTCACTCCGTTTTCAAGGCCCCAAGGTATTTAATTCTCTCAGCGCTGAAATTCTAAATGCCTGTACTATTGCTGTGTTAATCTCTAAACTTAAGTCATCTTTTTTGGTATAAGTATATTTTACTTTTCTTGGTGTGCTTGTGTGTGCTTTTTTGCTTTTTTTAATGTTTGAAACTTAGCCACTGATACAGTACAAACTATTTTCAACGTGTGACTCTGGAAAGCTGGTACACTAACTTGGAACAAAAACCTCTCAAAAGATATCAACAACTACCGGCACGTTACAAATGACTTACTCAGGACATGAACAAAACCAACAAACGGACCACAAACAGACCGACTTAAAAAATTAACAATAGACGGACCTCAAACAGACCGATTTGACTAACAATAGACGGACCGCAACCTACTAGAACCGACCAATGACTGCTGACAAACTTTACAAGAGTCTTTCAGCCAATACCATCAAGACTGAACTGACCAATCAATCACTTTCAACGGACCAGACTTATAACATCATCGACTGACTAACACTATTCATTTGACTCTGAAGATGACTTCCGCTCNACACTTCAGCTGAAGTGTAAAACTGGTCGCATTTCTGTTTACTGTAACAGAGCGCCATTTGCTTTTCTGCACTGGTGACATCACTTTTCTGTAGTTCACAGTGTAGTTGACAACTGGACAGCTTCCTTCAAAGAGTGGTTCCCACGCCACAACAACGGTTCCCCCTGATACGATCTCGGTCGTGTTGACAATAACAGGAACGCCTTAAAGGAGTTTCAGAAGAATACTGTGCAACTGATCATGGCAATCCCAAAGTTGAGATGAAAATTAATTTAGTACAGTAAGGGTGGTTGAAAGAAGGCAGATGTGGGGCAAAGGACGAACCGACAAACTCGACTAACTTTGGTTCCAAAGTTGACTTAAAATTTGAAAATGACCCACTCTGCTGCGATAATTCGGATCTTAATTATTTATCGTTAGAATCCGTAAGGCTCACCTCTTAGTTTATTGATTTGATCCCGCGAGAGGGCTGTACCAAAAACATAAAGATCCATCACTGAACCATGGAACTGATGACCGTTCCAGTGACCATCCTTACCAATCTGGTAACGCCAACCTGTGGGTTGAACAAACGTAGAGCTACGGGGATACAATCTTGCTCCTTTCACTTTACCGTCAGCGTAGATTAACACGAACCCAGTCACGTGGTCCCAAGTAACAGCCACGTGGGTCCACGTGTCCAAAGCAACATTGGCACTCTCTATGGACCACAATTCCCATTCATCATTTTCGTATTGGTAACGCTGAAATACAATCTTCTGGTTTTTCGTGCTTAGCAGAAACTGCCGTGGATTATACCAGTCTCCATATATCGCTCCAAACCCATCGAAGACCCACTTCGTTTGTTTGATCCAACAGGCAATGGTGAAACTTCTGTCGTTAAGTGTGATGATTGGTGCAAGGGCGTAGGAATGCGATTGGTTCAAGAAGAGGGCCTCACTGCCGTGACACCTTCCCTCAGTGAAGGACGGAGATCCAATTAAACTAAAAAAGGAAAAAAATTATGATTCACACTAAAACTTGACCATAGTAATAAGGAATAAACGATGAATGCCCCTATTTATTAAAAACTGGATCATTGGATAATGCAATTCGAGAGTTTTCATTGGCTTAGCCATCATGGGTTATGAGCCATTATACCACGCTCTACAAATATGGTAAGCAAGTGCGTGATTTTTTGGGGCGTTTTTTATTTTTATTTAAGAGATGATTATAGCCAACTCGGGGCTACCCGCCTCGTCGGCAATCTATCATCTCATATCCAGCGCGCGCTACTGGAATAATTGTTAATCATACGAAATGGAATTCAAGGAGAATTAATGATTACTCTCTTTAAAAATACAAAGTTTGCTACAATCGTAGAAATCGGCGGATCCAAATCAGATCCCTCTTTCTCAAGCAGTGAAGCATCTAGAAGACAGCACAATGTTTGCGGCTACTGGGTCTCAGTCTATAGTAGTCTATCTGTCAGTAATTAGCGCACTGTGGATTGTCTGAGTATTCTTTGGTGCCCATCACCGTGTTATTCGTCTGTGTGGGGAGGGACATTGAGAGAATATCTTGCCCGAAAACACAGCATAATCTCACTAACCATTTGATTACTGGGCCTCTTTACGTTTTCGATAAAAACCAATCATTGCAGTTGTTTTCACTTGAGTGTCGAAAGCAATTTGCATTTGCTTTCAATAAAATACAATACGTTTGGCATTACCACGCCAAGCAATTGCAAATTGGCTTTAAAAAAACCAGCGCCACTTTATCATCTATCTTATCAGACCTATAACCAAAACCAATCGTGACTCCCTTGCACACGTTTTTTACGCGCTTCGCTTCATCTCTCTTCGCGTTTCGTACGTAGTAGCGGGAGCGAATGAGAGGCGGCTGTATTCGCAGGCTAACACGTCAGTTGCTTAGCGTTTTGATTGGTTCATTGGATTGGTTGCGTCCTTTGTGATTGGCTAGAGTGATTACTTTGGAGCAATTCGCGATTGAAGACGCTCGTTTTATACAAAGGGTGCACATAGGCTGCATGGAATTTCAGTCGCTATATAATTATTATACTTAACGTCTCTAAGGTTTAGGCGCTAAATAGTAAGTAACCAACCTTATATCTTCGTCATGGCCATTCAGCAACCAGTAGCTTAGAACTACCTTATCTGAAAACAAAAGAGCTTTAGTTTTAGCTTCCATCCTGCAGTGTAGGTTTCTTCTATATTTTTAAGGCTATTGGATTGCTGACGATTTTTTGGTATTAAATTAGCTACTCAATTTGATAGGCTTCGATCAGCCTGCTGCTGGAGTATCATTACCGATCAGAAACAAAAAACTTGTAAACCAAGAGTACGAAAAAGCAGCAAATGTATTATTGTTTTTTTCATGTTTGCTATCTAACTGTTGAAAGAAAAAATAATCTGCACACGAACAAAATTAATTGACCTTCAAAAAGACATTTAAATGCAGCTATTGGGGTACGTCTCCAAGTCGCGATGCGTTTGAAATTTAAATTAATAATTTCAAATATTCACAGTTTTTGTGATTTGGAAAATGAAATTTTTCAGGCAACTATAAGAACTGCCAAGAGAGCTTGTTTGCAAGCTTGCAGATGTCAGCCCGGCCGGGGGGGACTCCCATATGAAAAGGTCGGGGACGCTCGTCATCTCGCTTAGGGGTAAAAATCAAGGATGTTAAGATGTTCGTGACGAAATACCACTATTTTTAACTAACAAAGTATCTGTGAGCTAGGGTGCACTGGAAGAAAAAATGGTAAAAAAACACTCTTGTTTCCGCTTTTAAGCTCGATTTCCGCCGGTCTCTTTGGTACAGTTTTCTAGAACGGGCTCCTTTCCTGAACAGCGGCCTGTAATCGAGTCTTTTCCGTTTTAAATGGTACATTTTAGAGGTCAAGTTAAGCTCGAGCCACGCCTGGATTGGTCTCCCTTAGGGGTTTGGTTCAAATTTTCTGACGAGCATTCTCGACCTTTTCATATGGAAGTCTTCCCCAGGGCAGCCCGGCGGCTTAAGAGACCCTGAGAGTGCGCACCTGGAGGGGTCATCTTGCAGCATTTAATCATGTCAATACAGTTCAGCTTGTCACAGTCTCCTTTGTACACGCCCATCATATAGTGCCAGTCTCGACACTTGCTCCAGCCTTTCTTATTTAGTGATTTCCTTACATCTTCATCGTAACAATCCTTGGTCATGTTTTTGAAGTTTCTGGGTCTGCAACACAATGCTTTTTCGATATTGTAAAGCCAAGTCTCGTTTGAGCGATAAATTCCTTGGAGAAAATACCCGTCAGGACAGGAAGCCCATCTATTGTTTCTGAATTACAAAATAATAATGCGGAATTATCTATTTGAATCATCTTTTCTAAGTAGGTAGGAATTCGAAGGTAGGTAGGTGGGTAGGTGGGTAGGTAGGTAGGTAGGTAGGTAGGTAGGTAGGTAGGTAGNTAGTGCCAGTCTCGACACTTGCTCCAGCCTTTCTTATTTAGTGATTTCCTTACATTTTCATCGTAGCAATTCTTGGTAAAGTTTTTGAAGTTTCTGGGTCTGCAACACAATGCCTTTTCGATATTGTGAAGCCAAGTCTCCGTTGAGCGATAAATTCCTTGGAGAAAATATCCGTCAGGACAGGAAGCCCATCTGTTGTTTCTGAATTACACAATAATAATACGAGATTATCTATTTGAATCATCGTTTTAAAGTAGTTAGGTAGGTAGGTTAAGTCTGCATATGAGCCTGCAAGTGGCCCATCAGGCCGGAGCTTATTCCGGTTTCTGTAGCATGGAGCAATTAGGAGTATTTCTACTACCTCCCCCCACCCTGGATGGGATGCTAGTCCATCTCAGGGTTACCCAGTGCGTTAAGCTCGCTGGTACCCATTTATACACCTGGGTGGGGAGAGGCACTGTGAGATCAGAATAAAGCGTATCCTCTATCCTGGTCGAATTGGAATTTGAAAATGTTGATTTTTCAGCTGAAGAACCTCTGAGCAATGCGAGAACCGAAACTGGACCGTAATCAAATGCTAACCACATTGTTAGGAGGCAAGCACTTGATCTCAGCGTTACGTCATCCCCGTTTCAAGGAGCGAAATTCCGGAAAAGCATCCCAGAATAGCGGTAAGGGAAAGACCAAAAAAGTTAAAATAAACTAAAACTGATTCTGACAGAGGAATAGCTGGACTGATATATTTTTTTTAAAATGATGCGTCGTCCGCTTCTATTCTATGCTATCATCCTGTGAA